ATTTCGAGCAGCCTTTGAATTGGGACAGCCTTCGTCGCGTCGCGGTGACGTAATCGGCCTTAAAATGCGGCCTTTAAGGCTGCAGACCCTGAATTGGGATACAGCCTATGTATGCGTATGCACAGAGAAGGAGGTGCCATTTGGACAGAAAATGCTCTGAATTTATGTGAACTAAATCCCCCATTTATATGCAGTGATGAAATATGCTGGATATACAAAAAATGTTTGGTTGTGCAGCTTTAAATCTAAAATGAATCCAGGCTGGGAGAGTGAATCACTTTGTTATCTTGGGGAAACCGTAGTTGTGTTTCTCAGCGAAGCCCTTCACAGATATTTCTTGGAACATAGAAAAAGATATATAAGATGTATAGTTTTTTGTCTCTGTCTCTCTGATGCTGAACAGTGGATCATCTTATCCCAGCAGGGGGTGACAGCGGCTGACTAGATTAAAGCTCTATAGCCTGCTCTCAGAGACAAAGAATCTGTGCTGCAGGCATTGATTTCTGTGATCTATACTATAAACCTCTCATGTTACCTCTGCGTAATCTTCTGGTAAGATGTAATAAAAGCTGCTTAGGCTGACTGCACTCACAAAGTGATTATTTCTATTCTAACAAGCTTGTCAAGTGTGATTCAAGAAAGAAAAGAAGAAAAACAAACTTAATTTAATCCTGTGATGACCCCATCTGCCTACTTGTTTAGTCTGTCTTGTTATTTCTTAAAACATCCATAATCCCCCGCTCTTCTTCGCCTATCTGTCGCTAACATGATCTCTTTTCTGTTTTGTCGAAATTATGAGCCAGTTCTTGATCAGAATTTACAAGACTGGCAGCAAGCGACATGTCCCAATCAATCATCTGCAGAGAAATGCCTAACAATCAAGTGGCACAATGCTTATTAGGTATACGCACAGGAAACCATAGTTGACTTGGCAATTGTGACACAGCTGAAGAATGATCATTTGTGGGTTCACACTGAGGCCCTGTTCCATTAGTGTTTAACTTGTGAAGCACGCATTAAATGTTCTGTTTCACTCTCACACACCCAAATGCACACGAAGGTTTATCTGTGCAGTCAACAGTATGAAATTTATAAATAAATAAATGCACGCCTTTCAGTGTCTAATAACTGTCATAAACAAATGAGACAAATATTTTACTGCCTTATTACAAAGGCCGTGTAGTTCCCTTTTAATTATTACATGTGAGATGTTGACGGTTGTACATTCTGGGATTGAACAAATGCAAAGCATGAGTCTTTGTTGTTGGGAGCTGACAGGAATGAAATGGAGGTTTACAACAACAGTGTGGCTTCATGAAATGCACAGAGGACTACTTCAACTACCAGACGGGTTTTTGATATGAACATTTTCTGAGACACAGATAAAGGAAAGTCAGGTGTATCACATCTTTGATATAGACAGTTATAAACACTAACAGTATCTCTGTGTGGTTAGCCTTAATTACTTTTGCTGACCAGTGCATTCCCCAGCCAGGAGGTGAACTTTTTTCTAATCATTTAATTGCAAATCTTTATTTTCCACAACAGGCAGTGAGATTAAGACAGTCATTCACTGTCAGTGTGGCACTCTGTCGTTCACATTTCACATAACACATTAAGGATACAGTGTGCGTTGCAAAACGAAAAGTTGTCACTTTGGGATCTTTATAGAAGTGTTGTGTTTTCCAAAGCCTTTAGATGGATCAGAAGTCATCATTCTGGTGACGCAGGAAAGAACTTTCTAACGTCTGTTTATGTTTGTGTAAATGGTTGCACTTTGATCCAAACTATATTTTTCTAAAACTTATAAAGTTGTTTGAAGTAAAAAAAAGAAACACTGAGGAAAAATTGTAATTAAAAAAACTCAAACCTCGGTTTCCTGGTGTGACATGTTTTTAAATTTCTACTTTCTAAAGTGTTTCTAGTCCAAATAGTTTCCCCGTACATGGAGCACAAACATTTATCTGGAGCCGTTTTGTATCTGCATGATAAAAGGAAGATCACAATACCTCTTCCATATCTAATTCTCACAAAATGAGAGCCTACTTGGTAAAAATGTCATGGCACCAGGATCTCAGCCATTGGAATACTTTATAGATGGACATCTGCCAGGATTAGATGAAAAGCTGTTTGTGATGAAAGTCACCTTCTCCGTAAGCCTGTTTTCCCGATGGTCTGTCAGAGGAACAAATTGACCACTGGCCCTCTCTGGTGTGTGCTGTTCTTAAAATATTAAAGAAGACTCCTTCTACTAGGGAAAATGTGAAAGTTCTGGATTCACACAGGCCTTAAACTCTTACCGCATATTATATTATTTTCTATTATTTGACAGACAGACAGATGACTCATGCCCTGTGACAATGTGGGTTCAAAAATATTAACATGGTACACACGTATAAAAGCAATCAGCTTGAGAGACCTTGGGCTTTCCAACAAATCTAGACTCATGTTGCATTAACAACAAATACTTACAGAACATATTTGTTTTAATTGTTTTTTTATCCTGTTAATAAATGAATGTATTCCCCATATATAACAACCAATCTACAGTCTAAGTATCTATG